CTATAGACTAGATTATAGTTCAGACTATAGATTAGATTATAGTCCAGACTATGGACTAGATTATAGTCCAGACTGTAAACTATAGTCTAGACTACAGTTCAGACTATAGACTATAGTCTACACTATAGACTAGACTATAGTCCAGACTATAGGCTAGATTCGACTAGACTATAGTCCCTACTATAGTCTACTATAGACTTGACTATAGTTCAGACTATAGACATTAGTCCAGACAAAAAACAATAGTTCAAACTACAAACTTAACTGAACTACAGACTATAGTCCAGACTATAGACTATATTAAAGTCCAGGCTATAGGCTGGATTACACTATAGTCCTTACTATAGACCACTGTAGACTAGAATATAGTTCAGACTATAGACTTTAGTCCAGACTATAAACTATAGTTCAGACAATAAACTAGACTAGACTATAGTTCAGACTATAAACTAGACTATAGTCCTTACTATAGACTACACTAGGCTACAGTCCAAACTATAATCTAAACTGTAGACTAGATTATAGTCAAGACTATAGAATAAACTATAGTACAGGCCATAAGCTAAACTATTGTCCAGACTATAGACTATACAATAATCCAGACTGTGGTCTCGACTATAGAGTACGCTTATAGCTCGGGCTATAGAATTTACATACTATAGTCCGGACTATTGACTAGACAGTAGTCCAGACTTATTTTTAGTGAAATTCGATTAATTTTAGTGAAATTCGAATCAAAACTTTTAAGTTGTATTTATTTTTGACAAAAAAATCTTTTTTATTAAATACTTAAAACAAAATATACAATAAAACAAAAGCATGACTAAAACAGATGCCCCCTCCAAAAAAACAGTGAATCATTTTCGGCGGCTATTTTTTTTGTGTGTGTGTTTTTTTGGATCAATAAAGGGGTTGTTTTTTAATATTATTTTAAACTCTATAAATTTCATTGACAACAGACAAATGTGGAATAAAGAAAAAAAAAACACATTCAGACTTGTCAGTGAGACAATATAATTTCGAAAGATCATGCAGAGACACTGACAGCATAAACACAGTAAAAGCTAACAAAAAAAGCTAAAATATCTCCAAATATTTATATATATAAAAAACGACGCATAAATAGATCCATTATTAGTTACTTGGGGATAGTGACAAATACAGGTTTTATTATTTTATATTAAAAAGCACATCAAATTTACACATATACCTATATACTTCCCTTATTTGTAGCTTTTACTGTATTTTATTTCTCCAATTAAATACTATTCAGTACAAAAAAAAATTAAAATCTACTAAAAATAAAACTCAACTGTTTATAAATTAAAAAAACACACAATCATGAATGAACAAAAACAATTTATTTGTTCATTTCTCTTTTAAAATTGAATGTTCAATTTATTCGAAAACCCTTAAACTTGTAAAACGTATTTAATTGAAATTGTTTGGAAAATCGTTTAAAATTGTTGAAAAACATAAAACATGCTCAACACTAGCACCCTCTTCTCTTTTGAAGCAACAATTTCATTAAAAAAAAAAAATACTTACAAAACATAATATTGTATTTCCTCTCATATTACCAATTGATTTAGTCTTTTTTTATCGAGTGTTTATGGTTGTCAAATTAATTTCCCTTAATTGTTTTCAATAGCTGACAAATAGCAACAACAACAATACCACAATTACTGTGTAAACAAAGCTTAAGGCATATGATATGGCAGCATTGTGGGAGGGAGGGTAGCTGGCAACACTTGCCACATTGCTGGGTTTTATTGTTATTATTTATGTTGGTGTATCAATTTAATATAGATTTTCATTTATTTCAAAGTTTTGTCTATTTTTAATTTATTTTATAAACAAGTGTATTGGATTTCATCAAATTGTAATCACGCTTTTAAAGAAATAATGAAAAAACCATTTACACAATGTAAAAATGGGACTGGAAAGGTTTTAGTCCATAGACTGAACTATAATTTTGACTATATTGTAGTCTAGTCTAGTCTAGTCTAGTCTATAGTCTAGTCTATAGTCTAGTCTATAGTCTAGTCTATAGTCTAGTCTATAGTCTAGTCTATAGTCTAGTCTATAGTCTAGTCTATAGTCTAGTCTATAGTCTAGTCTATAGTCTAGTCTATAGTCTAGTCTATAGTCTAGTCTATAGTCTAGTCTATAGTCTAGTCTATAGTCTAGTCTATAGTCTAGTCTATAGTCTAGTCTATAGTCTAGTCTATAGTCTAGTCTATAGTCTAGTCTATAGTCTAGTCTATAGTCTAGTCTATAGTCTAGTCTATAGTCTAGTCTATAGTCTAGTCTATAGTCTAGTCTATAGTCTAGTCTATAGTCTAGTCTATAGTCTAGTCTATAGTCTAGCTATAGTCTAGTCTATAGTCTAGTCTATAGTCTAGTCTATAGTCTTAGTCTATAGTCTAGTCTATAGTCTAGTCTATAGTCTAGTCTATAGTCTAGTCTATAGTCTAGTCTATAGTCTAGTCTATAGTCTAGTCTATAGTCTAGTCTATAGTCTAGTCTATAGTCTAGTCTATAGTCTAGTCTATAGTCTAGTCTATAGTCTAGTCTATAGTCTAGTCTATAGTCTAGTCTATAGTCTAGTCTATAGTCTAGTCTATAGTCTAGTCTATAGTCTAGTCTATAGTCTAGTCTATAGTCTAGTCTATAGTCTAGTCTATAGTCTAGTCTATAGTCTAGTCTATAGTCTAGTCTATAGTCTAGTCTATAGTCTAGTCTATAGTCTAGTCTATAGTCTAGTCTATAGTCTAGTCTATAGTCTAGTCTATAGTCTAGTCTATAGTCTAGTCTATAGTCTAGTCTATAGTCTAGTCTATATCGTCTAACTCTATAGTCTAGTCTATAGTCTAGTCTATAGTCTAGTCTATAGTCTAGTCTATAGTCTAGTCTATAGTCTAGTCTATAGTCTAGTCTATAGTCTAGTCTAGTCTATAGTCTAGTCTATAGTCTAGTCTAGTCTATAGTCTAGTCTAGTCTATAGTCTAGTCTATAGTCTAGTCTATAGTCTAGTCTATAGTCTAGTCTATAGTCGTCTATAGTCTAGTCTATAGTCTAGTCTATAGTCTAGTCTATAGTCTAGTCTATAGTCTAGCCTACAGTCTAGTCTATAGTCTAGTCTATAGTCTAGCATACAGTCTAGTCTATAGTCTAGTCTATAGCCTAGTCTATAGTCTAGTCTATAGTCAAGTCTATAGTCTAGTCTATAGTCTAGTTTATAGTCTAGTCTATAGTCTAGCCTATAGTCTAGCATATGTCTATGTTCCTATAGTCTAGTCTATAGTCTATAGCCTAGTCTATAGTCTAGTCTATAGTCTATAGCTAGTCATAGTCTAGTCTATAGTCTAGTCTATAGTCTAGTCTATAGTCTAGTCTATAGTCTAGTCTATAGTCTAGTCTATAGTCTAGTCTATAGTCTAGTCTATAGTCTAGTCTATAGTCTAGTCTATAGTCTAGTCTATAGTCTAGTCTATAGTCTAGTCTATAGTCTAGTCTATAGTCTAGTCTATAGTCTAGTCTATAGTCTATAGTCTAGTCTATAGTCTAGTCTATAGTCTAGTCTATAGTCTAGTCTAGTCTAGTCTATAGTCTAATCTATAGTCTAGTCTATGGTCTAGTCTATAGTCTATCCTATAGTCTAGCCTATAGTCTAGTCTATAGTCTAGTCTATAGTCTAGTCTATAGTCTAGTCTATAGTCTAGTCTATAGTCTAGTCTATAGTCTAGTCTATAGTCTAGCCTATAGTCTAGTCTATAGTCTAGTCTATAGTCTAGTCTATAGTCTAGTCTATAGTCTAGTCTATAGTCTAGTCTATAGTCTAGTCTAAAGTCTAGTCTATAGTCTAGTCTATAGTCTAGTCTATAGTCTAGTCTATAGTCTAGCCTATAGTCTAGTCTATAGTCTAGTCTATAGTCTAGTCTATAGTCTAGTCTATAGTCTATTCTATAGTCTAGTCTATAGTCTAGTCTATAGTCTAGTCTATAGTCTAGTCTATAGTCTAGTATATAGTCTAGTCTATAGTCTAGTCTATAGTCTAGTCTATAGTCTAGACTATAGTCTAGTCTATAGTCTAGTCTATAGTCTAGTCTATAGTCCAATCTATAGTCTAGTCTATAGTCCAATATATAGTCTAATCTATAGTTTAGTCTATAGTCTAGTATATAGTCTAGTATATATTCTAGTCTATAGTCCAGTCTATGGTGTAATCTATAGTATAGTCTATAGTGCAGTCTACAGTCTAGCCCAGAATCTGCTCTATAGTCTAGTCTGTACTCTAGCTTGTAGTCTAGTCTATAGTCTAGTATATAGTCTAGTGTAAAGTCTATCCTATAGTCTGAAATTTATTATAGTTTTTGTTATAGTTCCGACTATTGACTCATTCCTATATATACAGATGTTTTAAATAAGAAGGTAAGATCAATTTTATGTTTTTAACTACAATTTCTTTTCAATTTCGTACCATTTTTAATTATTCTAAAAACGCTACAACAACATAAATAATGTCATCAAAATTTTGAGTCATAAAATAACCATAAAATATAAAATTATTGTGTATTCCTTATATAGCAGCAACGATAAAAATCACATCTTTTTTTTGCTCAACCGCAAATAACGTCAATTTGCTGAATAAAACCACATAGACAAGTGTTGGCAACGCTATGCCAAAAATAGGCAATACAATAATAAAAAATACAGTTGAATCTCTGCTATACACTCACAAAAAAATGATGACACCTCTTGAAAATCATGTGTTGAGATAAATTGCCATTTTAAGAGAATTTTAATTGGACATTGATTTTGAAAATTTAAAAATAAATATAAAGAGCTTATGATTAAATACAAACATAATTTAATACTGGTTTTTAGAATTTTTTAAAATAACTAGTGGGCGAAATGAGTTGTTAATTAGAGATTTGAGTCCAGCTGTTTTTAATACCAAAACGCTTAAGATATAATTTTCTTTTTATCATACTTAC